CCAGTCACCTCTACACAAAAAGCAGCCCGGAGCAAACACACAAGCATGGACAGGCCTTGTGGTAGGGTGCGCAGATGCAGACGCGCGCACACACACACACACATGCACAAACACACGCACGCACACGCCTCAGGCAGGGCCCACACAGATGTCTGTGCGGTGACTCTGGAGGTGACCCCAGGTACCTGGGCAGGAACGCCACTCAGAACACCGGGGGGCAGGATCCAGCTCAGGCGCACAGCACGTGCCTGTGACACCCGACTGGCGTCAGAGCGGATGTGCTCTGGCCAGGAGACCCCCGCGTGACCAGGTGCAGACCTGGGTTAGGAAAAGCCCTGCGTGAGTTTTTTTTAACCCTGAGGACGAGGGAGGCCCAGCTCCTCCAAACAGCCCTGCTCCGCTGGCAGCCCTCGCTGGGCTGGATTTTCCTGCAGGGCTTTTGGATTTTGTTTTTGATCCACTCAAGTGTTGATCGTGTGCCAGACCCCGTGCCAGCACTCGGCTAACGTGTGCAAAGTTGTTCGGAGTAAAGCTCTCGGTAAATGTGGGTTATTATGTACGTTGTTATTTACATACATAATCTAATTTCTTCTCATAACAACCCTATGAGGAAAGGTGCTATTATCCCCATTTTACAGATAAGGAAAGTGAGGCTCCAAGATGTTAAGTGGCTTGTCCTGGTGGCAAACAGCCGGTAAGTGACAGAGGCAGCGTTTGAGCCCAGGTCTCAGACTCCCGAGCCTGTACTCTTAATCTCTGTCTCGTCAAGACTCCCAGTTGGGAAGCCAGCCCCCCCGGCCGGGGGGTACCACAGGGGAGCAAGGCCCTCAGGACGCCATGGCTTTGGTCTGAGAGGCTCGGGGCAGGGGGACAAAGGGGGAGAATGCGCAGAAGGGGAATGTGTGGTGCCAGGGGCCCCTCTCCCCCTTCCGTCCCTTTGCCCTTGCCTCGACTGTACCTCCAGTATGACCGGAGGTGCGGAGCGGGTCTCGGAGCCACTGACGCCCTGGCTGTCCTTCCAGCCTGGCTGTGCTCAGTCTGCGTGACCCTCGGCAGTATTCCACTCCCTCCCAGGCCTGAGTAGGGCTGAGCTGCCCCCTGGATGGCACCTTATCTCCGACCTTCAGCATGTCTGTGTCTGGATGGATTCCAAGTGCGGCCTCCTGCCTAGACTTCCAGCCCACCCTGGGAAGATGCCCCTGCTGTGCGGGCAGATAAGCATTGGCAAGTTTGAGCCCGCCCTTGCTTTCGGAGACCCACGAAGGGGGTGTGGAAGGCGTTGGCCCGCGTCTCCAGGACTCCTCCTCGTGAGGCCGCTGGGGGCTGTATTTTCCCCATTATCCCTGGGACGTGTGTGAGACAGCCAAAGGTCAGTGACCCCGCGTGCACCACCCTCCAGAGGACCTACATGGTGCTCTTCAGAGGGTGCGCCGTGGGCCTCCCACTTGAGAATCACCTGGGAGCCGTCAGATGGCACGTTGTTAGGCCACCTCAGGTCGGCAGTGGCAGCACCCTGGGCAGGCCTGGCCCCGGACAGAGGTCAGGCCTTTTGGGCGATTTTGCTGCATCCTGCCGTTGACCGACCAGGGGTTCTTTGGGAAGGAGACCTCTTAAGCCAGCCTTCCCCCACAGCTGCTTTTGTGCTGTGGGGCTTTGTGTAAGTTGCCTGGTCTCTCTAAAGTTTGGTTTCTTTTTCTGTAAGGCTTTGTAAGCCCTTGTAGGGCAGTCATTGGCCTGCAGGGGTTAATACCTGCGTATGTGCCCTGCTGCGCCCTCCCAGGTGTGGACCTGTGCTGGCCGGTGGGAGGGGTCTCTTCAGGAGGTTGCCTTCCTAGGAGCAGAGCATGAAAAGGTCAGGCTGCTTGTTCCAAAAGGTCATCAGCACACAGTGCAAGCAACACGATTGGGCCCCATTGTGTTTGGAAATTTTGTGGTTGACAGAAGTGGGGGATTAGAACTAGAAACTTTCTTCGGGCTTCCCAGCATGTAGAGTGCTGATAGGTGGTGGGTGAGGAGTTGGGAACTGGGAGCAGAAGACCTAGAGTCTCATGCTGTTCTGGACTTAATAGCTCAAAGAGAGGGGCGCCTGAGTGGCTCGGTTAAGCGACTGCCTTCGGCTCAGGTCATGATCCTGGAGTCCCGGGATCGAGTCCCGCATCGGGCTTCCTGCTCAGCAGGGAGTCTGCTTCTCCCTCTGACCCTCTTCCCTCTCGTGCTTTCTATCTCTCATTCTCTCTCTCTCTCAAATAAATAAATAAAATCTTAAAAAAAAAAATAGCTCAAAGAGAGGCCTCGACTGCTCCAGACCATAGCTGTCCTATGGTTTCAGTACCGCAGTTTGGGCTCCGGATGTGAGGCGTGACTTTCCCCCATCAATTCCCAGTGCCCCCCCCCGCCAAGTTCTGACTTTGCTTCTAGAGCATGACAAGACTCCCAGCTGCAGAACCACACACATTCCCCCATTGATTGCTCCACTGGTCACCTTGCGTCCTCACCTTCCCTCACCAGGAGATATCGTGGGCAGCGGCCTTGGGAGCTCTGTCATCCTGTTTGCTGGTGGGATGCTGTCCATCCCATGTCCCATTGGCTTTGCTAGGATGTCCCACCTGAGGACTTCCTTCAGCATCAGTGGCTAGGCAAAAGGCTTAGCTTCTCCAGAATGGCTGCCACGTGTTCCTTCTCTTGGACAGCAAGAACAGGGTCACTTCATTTCCCTTTTCTCCTCAGCCACCAGAAGGCTCGGCATTAAATGCACAACCCATCTCTAGTAGCTGTGTGAAGATCTCTTCTGACCTGCCTGTGTGACTATGCCCTTACTCTCTGGTTTAGGCGTTTTCCTTGGATTTGTGGTTTTGGTTTTTTTCCCTCTGTTCTTGATTTTAGTGTTTATGTTTCACTACGTTCTTTTCTTTGTTTTCTTGCCCTTTGTGGAACCAGGCCGGGGGTACGTAAAAACACTCACCATGTAAAAGCACAAGAAGCTGTCTTCACAAGTGCTTTGTTGGCATGTTGCTCCTTTTGCTCCCTCAGCTTCATGAGACCGTGTCTGTTTGCGTGGTCATTATCTATTGGTCAGATAGGAGATACCTGAGGCCGGGCAGGGTGGCTCATTTCTGCTTGTTTTTCTTTTCTTATCAGCTGCTTCGAATTTTTTAAATAATTTCTCTTCAAACCCATTAGTCGCTCAAGGCACAGACGGTACCCTGGTTGGACAGATATGTGCGTTTCTTTCTTTTTTTTCCTTCTATTTCTTTTGCATCACACAAGAGTAACCTGTTAATTATAGAATCCAAACATGATAAGTAAAAAGGAAAAAAAAAATTACCTATACTCCCACCAGGGATACCAATTTTCAGCATTTTTTGATTCATCCTCCTGGATTTATTCCCCCCCCTTTTTTTTCCCTTTTTCTGTTTATACTTTTCCCACAAAAAATAAGATCTAACTAGACATACTGTTTTGTTTTGTTTTTTTCCTTTAAGATTTTATTTATTTATTTGACAGAAAGAGAGTACAAGCAGAGGGAGCGGCAGGGAGAGGGAGAAGCAGACTCCCCACTGAGCAGAGAGCCTGATGTAGGGCTTGATACCAGGACCCTGGGATCATGACCTGAGCTGAAGGCAGACGCTTAACCCACTGAGCCACCCAGGCGCCCCTAGACACTGTTTTATAACCATCTTCACTTGGTGGTAATTAGAATCTTCCCTGTTATTATGGAATTTAAAACAATGAAAGGTATTTCAAGTTTATATCCAGGATACATGCACATAATTCGTTTTTAAGGGTGAAAGTACTTACTGTGAAAAGTGACCAGTGCCTCTGTCATCTCCGGCCCCAGGCCTGGTTAGAGGGACGGCTTTTAAATCAGACTTTTTGTTAGTACAGTGGTTTCGTCCATATACTTAAGTAAAATGCTTGCACTACTACTATTGCTTGGCTTACCTGATTTACTGATTTGCTGCCGAGAAAAAGAAGGCTTTCCATCACTTCTGTCAGCCTTCCCCACCTCCTGCAGACATTTTTCTACCACTATATTGGGTTGCCTCTGTAATTTAAAATATTATCCTGAGGGGCGCCTGGCTGGCTCGGTTGGTAGAGCATGTGACTCTTGATCTTGGGGTCATGAGTTCAGGCCCCACGTTGGGGGTAGAGATTACTAAAAAAATAAACTTAAAATTTTTTTTTATACTTAAACCTCAGTTTCTTATTCCATTAACCACTGACAATATCTTGTGGCCCTTTTTGCTCTCCCAAGGAGATAGAGACTCCATTTTTTCCTCAACAACCCTGGTACCCAGCATCACAGCATCTCTCTGTTGTACATTGAGGTCAAGGTTGGTAACAGTTTGCGTTCTGTTTTATAACCGTAAATCTTCGATGAGTGACTGTGAGCTGGTACTGCGAGGTAAAGACCAGCGCCCCGCATTTGCTTCCCTTAGGCCATCGGAAATCTTTTGCTGCGGGACCAGGGTGGGGTGGGCTGTCCTTACAGGTCCTTCTCCTTGGATCTGATGCTACTCAAGGAGGGTGTTAAATGTCCTTTCTTTTCTTCTATTCTCTTACGTGCTCAAAACCCACCACTTTATATTTTAGTTTGCTTCATATTTGACCCTGTTTTCCGTGTTTAATTTTGTTTGCTTGTTTTCCTGGTGTTTCTAATACACCCTCATTTTTACCGACTGCATCATATCCCACGGAGGGCAGTGTTAATGCCACCTTTTCCTCTCGTCCCCTGTGGTTGGGGTTATTGCCCATTTTTCACTCATGTGAACGGCGCTATAATAAATGTTCGTTTACATTCATCTTTGTACATTTGTTTCTGACAATGTTTGAGAGCCCAGGAATGCTGTTCCCCTTTCAGCCTCGTCTGCCCGTCCCCAGCTCCTTGCCGTGCGCTGCCTTCCTCACTTCCCTTCAGATCGGCCTGTCCTCGAGGTTGGTGGGAGACGTGGCTCCTGGGAGGCATGGGCCCCAGGGAATGTCCGTCTTCCTCTCCCCAGGCTCCCAAAAGCGGCCATTCCTCAGATTTGGAGCGGAAAACGTCTCCAACTACACGGCCCTTCTGCTGAGCAGGGATGGCAAGACTCTGTATGTGGGCGCCCGAGAGGCCCTCTTCGCTCTCAACACCAGCACCAGCTTCCTGCCTGGCGGAGTGTACCAGGAGGTGAGAAGGTGCCTGGGGCTGGCTAGGCTGGGCAGAGGATGGCAGAGGGGCAGATGGTTGGAAAGACCGACCTTCTGGGTGTGAAGATGCTGCAAATGGGAGAAGAGGGGCCGGGCACACCCCCCATTCCCATATGCACACTCCCCTTCTCCCGTTCTGCAGCTGCCGTGGAGCGCAGATGCCGAGAGGAGACAGCAGTGCAGCTTCAAGGGCAAGGACCCGCAGGTGAGCTAGCACCTGGAGGCCGCTCGGGCTGAGGGAGGGATGGAGAGAGGTGCACCGGACCCAACGTGGAGGCAGGATGTGGGAGCGGTGTAGCCAGCTGCGGCTTCAGAGATGACCACACCTGCGTTTGGCCCTATACTTAACTATCTCTGTGACCTGGGACAAGTAGATTGACCTCTCTGAGCCTTAGTGTCCCCACTTATAAAATGGGGATAATGATGCCTGTCTGACAGGACTTGGGGTGAGGATTCAGTGAGCTAATACGTGTAGGGCACCTGGCACCTAATCAGAACCAAATAAAGTCGGTTTCCAGCAAGAGCAGTGACTGGGTACCCTCCTGCGGATGGGGCGCTAGAGCAGGTCTGACCGATCCTGGTGTGGTTCTGGCCAGACCACAGGGTGTGGGGGTCTGGTCCAGCCCCCCTGGAGAGTGTTCTGCTGGAGAGTGTGGAGCACTCTCCACTGTTCGCGGAGACCTCTTTTTTTTTTTTTTTAAAGATTTTATTTATTTATTTGAGAGAGAGAATGAGATAGAGAGAGAGAGCATGAGAGGGGGGAGGGTCCAAGGGAGAAGCAGACACCCTGCTGAGCAGGGAGCCCGATGCGGGACTCGATCCCGGGACTCCAGGATCATGACATGAGCCGAAGGCAGTCGCTTAACCAACTGAGCCACCCAGGCGCCCTCCCGGAGACCTGTTGTCCTGCGTGTAGCAGGAGGCAGCTGAGGTGAAGGCAAAAGAGCCCCAGACTTGAGGTCAGACGCAGGTTCGAGTCCTGACTGCCCCTGACCTCTTAATGGACAAACGTTTATCAAGCACGTGCTCTGTGCTCAAGTCCTTTTAGACACTGGCAATACAGTTGTGAAAAAGAAGAAAGAACAACAGGCCAAACACAGCCACTTGAGCAGGTAGTCAGGCCACACCTCATTAAGGAAGTGACATTTGCGTCAGGACTAGACGTTGCTGAGGGAGTTGGCCATGGGATACCTGGAGAACGGGCAGGACGGGACTGACCCTGAGCAAGGTGTTTGGGGAACCCCCGGAGAGCCGGGCAGGGGGGCGCCATGGCTGGCATGTGTGTTAAAAGGGTCGCTCTGGCTGCCGTGACGGAGCGTGGCCTCTGTGGGGACAGAGGTGGGGAGCCCAGTGAGGGGGACCAGACCAGGGTGGCACCAGTGAAGGGCATGAGAAATGGTCAGGTTCCGGATGTAGTTTAAAGATGGGCCCACCAGGACTTCCTGACAGGAAATGGGGGATGTGTGAGAGAGGAGTCAGGGCTGACCTCCAGGTTTGGAGCATGAGCAGCTGAAAGGGGAAAGGTCTCAGAGGATAAAGTTTTGGGCAAACAAACAGATGCTTGGTTGGAGATACCGCTAGACACCCTTGCAGAGGCGATCCATGAGTCTGGGGTCCAGGGTCCTGCTCTGGGCTGTGGCTTACCTCACCAGGCAGGTAGGGAGGACCAGAGATTTTCACTGAGGTTCTGAAAAAGACCTTCAGGGGGCAAAGACCACCTAAGGGGAGGGGTTCCGTGCCTTCACTCCCAGACTGAAAGGAAGTTTCCGGAACGCAGAACTAGCTGCGCCCCCAGGCCCCCCTCCAGAGTGCACACGCTCCTTGGTCCTCAGTGTACTCTGCCCCAGGACGCTGCTGGCTTCTCATTTGCCCTGGGATATGAGCAGCTCCAGAGAGCAGAAGCTTTCCGCACGCACCCTGCACACACTGGTGGTGAGGGCTTGGCAGTGCCCCCTGGTGGCCTGCTTGGGCCTGACATCCTCCTCCCTTGTTCCTCAGCGCGACTGTCAAAACTACATCAAGATCCTCCTGCCACTCAACAGTACTCACCTGTTCACCTGCGGCACGGCGGCCTTCAGCCCTGTGTGCACCTACATCGTGAGTGCCCCTCTCTGCCCAGGCTTGCCTGGGGCTGGCCTGGGAGCCGCCCCTCTCTCTGCACCAGGCGCTGTTCCCCAGCACTGATCCCGGGCCCAGGGCAGGGCCCAGGGCGCAGCATCTAGGGAGCAGTGGGTCTGAGAGCCCTGAGGCCCAGCCCCAGATCTGGTGGCCGGGTTGGCTGGCAGGGGGGTGAGGGGCGGGGGGCGGACAGGGGTGCAAGAGAACACCCCCGGGCACAAAGGTCCTGGCCAGCCCGGGACTCACACCCTCTCTTGCTTCCTTGAGCTCTCCGTTCCACAGCCCACCTCCTGCCCTCACTCAGTTCCACAGCCCACCTCCTCCACCCCTCCTCACACACACACTCACTCCTGGTTTCTGTTTTACCCACACCTTAGCAGGGGGTGGCATTCTGAGGCAGTGGGTTGGAGCACCGCCTTTGGAGTCAGACACACTGGGTTTGAATCATGTTGCCACCCCTTCTGAGTCCTGTCCTGTCTCTCCTGTGGTCACTGGGACCAGTAATGCCCACCGTAGAGGGTCCCTGCCAGATGGTGCCCACAACTGCGCCCTGGGTGCAGAGATGACCTCCCCTCTCGCCCCCCACGGAGCAACCTTCTCTGGCACACCCCCCTCCTTTCCCTCCAAGCCCACACATTTCCTGGCATGCCCGTGACCTCTTCCATCTGCTTCCCTGCAGAATGTGGAGAACTTCACTTTGGCACAGGACGAGGCAGGGCACATCCTCCTGGAAGATGGCAAGGGCCGTTGTCCCTTTGACCCCAATTTCAAGTCCACGGCCCTGATGGTTGGTGAGTGTTGGGGACAGAGTGGCACATGAGTTCAGCAAGGCTCCGTGTGGGGGTGGGAAGGTGGGCAGCCTAGGTCCCAGGCCTGAGCTGGTGGGTCCCCGCCATGCTGAGTCCCAGGGGGCACAGAGTGACCCTTGGCTGCCCTTGGGTTTGGCTTTTCCCAGGTCCCACTCCCTTCCCTGTCCACCTCAAGTGAGATAGGCAGTGCTGGGGTCACTCAGGGCCCTGTGCTGAGGGGCCATTCCCATGGGAATGTTCTCTTGGCAGATGGTGAGCTCTATACCGGAACAGTCAGCAGCTTCCAAGGGAATGACCCGGCCATCTCCCGGAGCCAAAGCCTCCGCCCCACCAAGACCGAGAGCTCCCTCAACTGGCTCCAAGGTGAAATCCTCCCCACACACCCAGTGGGCAGCCCCAGAGCCCAGGGAGGGGCACGCTCTCCCCTCAGGGCCAGGCCAAGAACAATCTCTCTCCTGTCTGGGATTCCCAGGCTGACTACACTCCCCATTGGTCCCACAGACCCAGCGTTTGTGGCCTCGGCCTATATTCCCGAGAGCCTGGGCAGCTTGGAAGGGGACGATGACAAGGTCTACTTCTTCTTCAGCGAGACCGGCCAGGAGTTTGAGTTCTTTGAGAACACAATCGTGTCCCGCATCGCCCGCATCTGCAAGGTGAGGGGGCCGGGCTGCCCCAGAGACCCCGAAGGCTCCCCCGGTACAGGATCGGGAAACACCAGGAGGCCTCTTCTGTCCTCCAGGAGGAGCAGCTTGGCCAACTGTTTTTCTCTCTGTCCTTTTAAGCTCTCGTGTTTTTTCCTATTTGAGAAAATGCGAAAGTACAGAAAAGTACACGCAGAAATCACGTACAACATAAAGAGGCAGGGTAGAATCACGACAAAGAGCAGAGACTCAAGCCAGGCTGCTTCAGTTCCGACCCCACCGGTCCTGTGACCTTGGGCAAGTCCCGTGCCCTCTCAGTTAGCGTCCCCATCTGTTCAGTGGGCATGATAATACCTGCCTCAGAGTTATGTGGGCTAAATCCATCCCCAGAAAGCTTTTAGGAGTGTGGTAGGCAAAAACTAAATGTTGACTGTTAGTGTCGGCATCCTCCTGTTGCACCACAGATGATTAGAACATTCCTTGATGATCTATTTCCTTTTTTTGGAGTATGTGTAAATAGGTCGGTATTTATAGTATTAAAAAACTATTTACAAGCAAGAGTTCTGCAGTGTGGGTATTCAGGTTCCCTGCTCTTGGGGGATCGTGACCTCCTTCCCTGTGTGTAGGCAGGCTCCCATCTGTCCGTTTCCGGGTACTCTGCAGTAAGAAGGGCACCCTCGTTTACTTGGCCAGCCTCCTGGTGATGGGACCTGGACCCCGTCTTCATGTCTTCCTGATTCTAAGTGGAACTCCGCCCTGGCTGTGGCTTGCCCCGCCAGGTGTCTGTGTAGCTACCACTGGGGAGGGCCTGCAAGGAGCCCCAGGTTCCCCCCCCGGCGGCCCGTGTGTACGCCCAGCCTCTCTCTCCCTCCCCCAGGGGGACGAGGGCGGTGAGCGGGTCCTGCAGCAGCGCTGGACGTCCTTCCTGAAGGCCCAGCTGCTATGCTCGCGGCCAGACGACGGCTTCCCATTCAATGTGCTGCAGGATGTCTTCACGCTGAGCCCCAGCCCGCAGGACTGGCATGACACCCTGTTCTATGGGGTCTTCACATCCCAGTGGTACAGACCCCAGGACCTAACTGGAGATGGGAGGGCGGGGGATGCCTGTGACTGGGGCCCAAGATCTGGCTGCATCCCGCGCCCCAGGGCTCCTGGGTTCATCCAGCTACTTCCTTTGTAGGCACAGGGGGACCACAGAGGGCTCTGCCGTCTGCGTCTTCACCATGAAGGACGTGCAGAATGCCTTCAATGGCCTCTACAAGGAGGTGAACCGTGAGACACAGCAGTGGTACACCGTGACCCACCCAGTGCCCACACCCCGGCCCGGAGCGGTGAGTACTGGCTCCTGACAAGATGGCTCCCCACGCCCTGCTGGCTTCTCTGAGTCTGTTTTCTCATCTTGAAAGTGGGGACCAAAGCCCAGGCCTGCTTGTCTTACTGGGTTGGATGTGGCTATGAATGTTGGAATGGCTGAAACCTGCCTCAGGGTGAGCCAGTGTGCTCCCATCCCAGCGCTTAAGTGTGCGCTCTTGTCATTGTCCCTTCGTTTGTGCCTCCCCTACTCAGCTGTGGGCTCCTTATCTAGTGAGTGACTGAGTGGCTTGGCCATGGGGACATCTTCCTTCTGTCCTTCCAGCCTCATAGACTCCCTCCCAAAGCAGACCTTGAAACAAGGATATGAGTGTCGGCAGTTGATGTGGGAGGTGACTCCAGGAAGCACCATGAGGGAACAGGAAAGTGAGAGGGGGGAGCAGAGCCAAGGAAGAGCGTCACTGAGCTGTCCCCCTCATGGGCATCTGGGCCTCACTTCCCTGGGGCCCCGAGAGAGCACCTTCTGACCCTGCACTGGGAAACCCGGCCAGCCAGGGCTTCCTTCGAGCCTGGCGAAAGGAGCATGAAGGGTGGTCATGCTTCTTGAGGCCTGGGTGAGGGTGAGGGGCCTGGGCGGGAAGGGGGATCCCTGCCAGCCAGGGCCCCTGGGTGCCCCATATCCAGGCTTTGCCCTTGGGCCTCCAGATCAGTGTGTTGGCTCCATGCAGAGCCAAGTGATGGGCCATGGCTTCTGAGGGGGGGGCAGATACCCGTCCTGTCCGCTGGGGAGGCAGGGCCGGCAGTCCTGGCCGCGTCTCCAGGCTTCCCCTCCTGCGTGCTGCCTTAAGCGGCACTCTGTCTCACGCCGCCACCTCTTCCTTCAGTGCATCACCAACAGTGCCCGGGAGAGGAAGATCACCTCATCCCTGCAACTCCCAGACCGTGTGCTGAACTTCCTCAAGGACCACTTCCTGATGGACGGGCAGGTCCGCAGCCACCTGCTGCTGCTGCAGCCCCGGGCCCGCTACCAGCGTGTGGCTGTCCACCGTGTGCCTGGCCTGCACCGCACCTATGACGTGCTCTTCCTGGGCACTGGTGAGTGCCGACAGCGAGGCAGGTTCGGGGTAGAGGAGCCCCGGCTGTAGGGATATGGGTCTGAGTGCCGTCCATGTTCCAGGTGATGGCCGGCTGCACAAGGCGGTGGCCGTGGGCTCCAGGGTGCACATCATTGAGGAGCTCCAGATCTTCCCAGCGGGACAGCCCATCCAGAACCTGCTCCTGGACGCCGACAGGGTGAGCTGGAGGAGGAGCCCAGGGGACCGTGCTCGGCTGCCCCTCTGCTATGGACAGGTGGGCCCCAGCCAGCTTTTCCTCCCTGGCACCAGCAGGATGGAAAGATCCAGGCTCATGGCATAAGGCAGCAGAAAGCGGGGTGCCTGGGAGCACGAGAGGAGGCTCCTTGGGGAGTGGCCGGGTGCGGCTGTGGGTGGTGGCCCTGGCTTCCCGCTCCTGCCTCTCATCCCCGTGTCTGCGTCCGTACAGGGTCTGCTCTACGCCGCCTCCTCCCCTGGCGTGGTCCAGGTGCCCGTCGCCAACTGCAGCCTGTACCAGAGCTGTGGGGACTGCGTCCTCGCCCGGGACCCCTACTGTGCTTGGAGCAGTTCCAGATGCACACACATCAGCCTCTACCAGCCTGAGACAGCCTCCAGGTGAGAGCTCCTGCCGGCCCTTCCCACCTGGCCATCCCTGTGCACTTGGCCTCAGAGCACCTTCCCTAGGCCCTCTGTAGACTCCCCAGGCAGCCTCCTTTTGTGTCCACAGTCAGCGTGACTAGTAACTGACTCCCGTTCTGACTCTCAAAAGTGTTCTGGTTTGGGCCATAAATGATGTTTGCCTTACCCATCTGTAGAGCTGGGGACCTCATTCGGTAAAGTACGAAGTGTCACGGCTCTGCAAAGCTTTGCAGGAGATTGTGGATTGGCGTGTGAACGTGTTTAACAAAAAATAGGAGCTATGTGACAATCCATTAACAAACCTATTGAAAATCGCTTTCAGAAGCACTAAATTGGGTTGTAAGATGTTCGTATAGAAAACTTGAAAAGTAGAGGTAAAACAAAAACTATTCCGAATCCCACCACCTAGAGGGAATTGCAGTGAGATTTTGATATATACCCTCCCAGGTTTTTATATATATCTGTGTGATAAACAAAAATACATGTATTTTAAATAAAAATGGCATCTGTCCCATCCGTAGTGTCGTTGCTTCTACACACAGACCTGGTGCCAGCTTTATATTTCAAAGAATCCCATTTGAGCACACTCGTGTGCACCTGGAAGGACACGCCCAAACTGCCACCTGTCATGATCACCACCGGCTGGTAGACTGTGTTTGACTCCTGTAGTGTTTTCAGCGTTTGTACTTGGTTGAGTTTTTTTAGGTTTTGTGAGTGTATCACGAATTACTTTTATTCTTTATTATGTTTTATTAAGCAAGTGCGTGCATGTGCATTGCTTTAAAAGAGGCAGACACATGCGTATAGATTCAGCCGTCCTTCCAGAAAGGTCCATATTGTTCTTGTAGTGCAGGGAAGTATTGTAGTGAATTGTATTTGAAATAAATACTGTGCAGACAGAGGAGATGCTGGTTCAGACCCTGCAGGGCAGTCAGCTTGGGGAAACCACCTGCCTTTTACTCCGGCTTTGGGCCTGGCACACCCTGGGCCCTAGGCCCTTGCGGGGCTGCAGGGCCAGAGAAGCACCATGTGCTGCACTGGGGATGGGGCCAAGCGGGTGCATGGTGGTTTCCTGGCCTCTCTCTGACTCTCTCTGGTCCTCAGGCCATGGATCCAGGACATTGAGGGGGCTAACACCAGGGATCTCTGCAACAGTTCCTCACCTGGGCCCCGGTCTTCTGTACTAACAGGTAAGTCGCCCTGAGAAGGGTTGGAGCTGAGGTGGGGGCCGGGTCTGCTGAGAAGGCCCCTGCAGGCAGTGGTGGGTATAAATGCCTTTCCTCATGTCCTCGTCCCAGACTCCGAGTCGCCAGAGTTGCGCATCATGGCACAAGGAGTGCAGTCCCAAGAGAGGTGGGGCAAGCCTGGGGCTCCTGTGGATGCCGGTCCCCCCGCCTGTTACCCTGGGCCTCTTCTCTCATCTGTCCATAGGTGAGAAGCGATGTGAGCAAGTCTACTTCCAGCCCAACACGGTGAACACCTTGGCCTGCCCCCTCCTCTCCAACCTAGCCACCCGGCTCTGGCTACACAATGGTCTCCCGGTCAATGCCTCAGCCTCCTGCCGTGTGTTGCCCACTGGGGACCTGCTGCTGGTGGGCAGCCAGCAGGAACTGGGGGTATTCCAGTGCTGGTCCCTGGAGGAGGGCTTCCGGCAGCTGGTGGCCTGTTACTACCCAAAGGTGGTGGACGACATGCTGGCAGACCGAGCCGACCGGAGCGGCAGCATTCCCGTCGTCATCAGCACGTCCCGGGTGAGCGCACCAGCGGGCGGCAAGGCCAGCTGGGGTGTAGACAAGTCCTACTGGACCGAGTTCCTGGTGATGTGCACGCTGTTTGTGTTCGCCGTGGTGCTCTTCATTTTATTCTTCCTCTATCGGCACCGGGGTGGCATGAAAGTCTTTCTGAAGCAGGGCGAGCGTGCCAGTGTGCACCCCAAGGCCCGCCCTGTGGCGCTGCCACCTGAGACCCGGCCGCTTAATGGCGTAGGCCCCCCTAGCACCCCACTCGACCACCGAGGCTACCAGGCCCTGTCAGATAGCTCCCCGGCACCCCGCATCTTCACTGAGTCAGAGAAGCGGCCGCTCAGCATCCAGGACAGCTTTGTGGAGGTGTCCCCGGTGTGCCCCCGGCCCCGGGTCCGCCTGGGCTCTGAGATCCGGGACTCCGTGGTGTGAGAGCACGCTTCTCGAGGAGTCCACCCTGGCCTCCGAGGCCGTGAGTGCTCAGAGGGGGCCAGCCGGACCTCTGCGCCTCAGGGAACATGACCGTGGCGCCCCGGGGTCGGGGCTGATGGAGCCCGCGGGCCTGCTGCTCCTCCGCCAAGTAGCACGGCCCCCTCCGACCGACCAACCGCCGTGGCCCAGGAGGACCCAGTTGCAGATGGGGGCCTGCCTGGATGGGCAGAACAGTGCTCCTTGTGTAAAACTGAGCCCTTTGTTTAAAAACAATTGCAAATGTGAAGTGATTGAGAAGAACAACACATCACAGAGCTCCATGTGTGCGAACAGCCCCGCCGCGGGGCCTCAGGGGCATGGCCGACTCACCCAGAGTGCTTGAGACAGCGCTGGCCGTCCCCACCAGCTGGTCTCTTCCACCTTCTGCCTTACCCTGCGGCCACCGGCTGCCCCTCGTCTCTGCAGAAGCAGGGGCCGGCTTGGGCTCCGTGGGTCCTGCCTTGCCAGCTGGCCGACTTATTACAGTCATCATCCCGTCACCTCAGGGACCCGAGGGCCATGCTGCCGCTGCAGCTGTCACGAGGCCTTGGGCTCAGACTCACCTGCTGGACCTTTCGGGCCTGTATCAGGCTGTGGCCACGTGCGAGAGGGGCAGCGTGAGTCCAGGAGAGTTTAGGACGATGGACGCCTTTCCATCGAAGTCAAGGAAGGGACTGTTGCCTGCCTTCCTCCATCCCAGTCTTCAAATCCCACATCCACCCCGGGCTCCTCCCCAGAGCCCCGCCCCCGGTTCATCCCCTCCACCTTGCCCGCTCCCCCTCTAAGGGGTGTTGATACTGCCCTATACAGGAACCCCGAATTTATGTGGGTTTTATATTTTTTTTAATAAGAGGCACTTTACTTTTTTTTTTTTTTTTTAAATAAAATCTAAATAACAGAAATGGAATCATGGCCCTTCCTCTCAAAAGACTGTTCCTTTTTTGAGGTTGGCCCAGTTCTCTGAGTTTCGAGGAGTTCTGAGCCTCCACTTTCCAGGGGCTAGTGGGCCAGAGCCATCGTGGCCTGGCCGACTCCCATCTCCCAGGGGAGTGTGGTCCTAAAGGTGGGAAGTTTAATGCACTGATGGGAGGGGCAAGGAATTCATTCGTTTTCCCTCAACCCCTTTGCTCTGCACTTCCCCCCGTTCAGTTCAGGGTGGGAGCACAGAGGACCAGAGGTTTTGTCATGTTTTTTGTTTTGTTTTTTTTAATTTAAAAAACATTTATTTTTTTAAATGATCATACGGTGAAATTGGCGGTTGGTTTTTCTTTTGGCACACGGTTGTCTAAATTTTTACATGTGTGGAAATTCTGTAAGCAGCACCAGCATCAGGATATGGAGGAGTTCCATCTATCAGGCTACCCCTTCCTGCTCACAGCCTCGTGGGCGGTGGGCGGTGGGCGGTGGGCCGGGTAGGCTACAGTCTGACTTCCTGCTGGCTCTTTAGATCCTGTTCTTTCCGGTATGACCGAAGGCTTCTGGAAGTCCAGTCCTTCCTCATACCAATGTTTCTAGTATCACGCAAAGGGTCAAAACGTCTAAACCTTTATTATAGATTAGTAGAACACAAACACACGGGGGAGTGATGACCATGACAGAAAGAGAGAGGCCCTGGTCCGGAGGGCCTTCCCTGCCCGGAGCAGGACCGCACGGTGCCAGCTCGGTTAGGCCAGCGTGGCCGGCCCTGGCAACACAGGCATGACCTTGGCCACAGCTCAGCAGTGGAAAGGCTCTCTGACGGCGTGCTTGCTGGGACACACGCTGTGGCTCCTGTCACAGGACAATCTTAAAGGAGCTGAACAAGAGAAGAGCGGGTCAGGTTTTCTGCTGAAAGAGGAGGGAAGGGGCTAACCCCAAACTCACCCACATCATCCCTAAGACCCTTTGGAATGGGCTGTCCCACATCTGTCCCTCCCCTTTGGAAGAGCTACCCTGAGAGGAACTGGGGCTTTCCCAGCCCAGCTGCTGCCGCCCATCCTGACACCCCAGACCTAGGTGCAGCAGCTGGGGACCCAGAACGCGGGGGGACCACTACTGTCATACCTGGCGAAGTCCGGTGAACGGGAGATGACGTGCTGAAACTCTGAGAGGTTGATGGTGCCATCCCTATCAATGTCGGACTCTTCCAGGATCTGGGGAAGGGAGAGCTTCAGGCCAAGTCCTGGCCCTTCCCTGACCCTTCCCTCCCTGGCCCTGCCCGGCTACTCACATTGTCAATGAGCTGTTTCATCTCTGAAGCACTAAGACGTGTGTCCTCACCCTGTCCCGTGAGGCAGTTCACGAGATGACTCAGGTCTTCCCGGTTCAAGGTTCCATCATCATCAAAGTCTAGAGACAGACACAGGAGGCCAGAAAGAATGTGGTCAGGGTGAGCTCCCAGGCTCCACAGAAGGGCCCCAGGTCCCGAGCGGTACGCCGCCACCAAGACCGTGTGGGGACAGGCCTGTGTCCCGCCAAGCTGCTCCTGGCTCTCACCGAAGATGCGGAAGGCATAGTGGGACTTGATGTCTGGAGTCGCTGTGTCACTGAACACACTGAGGAGGTCCAGGAAGTCCTCGAAACTCAGGCTGTCCCTGGCTGGGGATGTGGAGAAGACCCTGCAGATTCGCTCCTTGAAGGGGTTGGCCTAGGCAGGAGAGCCTTGTGTGAAGGCCACAGGTGCAGCCCAGGTCACACACTCCTCAAACCCTACCAGGAACTGGAGGAGGCAGTTCACAGTGCCTGCTCCATGAGCTCAGGCTCACAGGAGAGAAGGGTCAGTCTTCTAGGGTCAGCACGGAGGGCAGGAGGACCACCTGACTTGGGGAAGGGATAGGCATGGCTTCCTGTGAGTCAGTTTAACCCAAAGGCTGGCCCAGGGGCAGAGAAGGAAGATGAAAGCATCCTAAGCAAAGAGAACAAGATGGGCTGGTTACTTTAAAACACATTTACTTGAACACTCACTGTGTTACAGGCACTAGGCCAAGCGCTTTGCATAAAAATTTTCAGTCAGGTGCCCTGGGTGTCTCGGTCAGCTCTTAGACTCTTGATTTCCGCTCAGGGTGGTGAGATGGAGCCCCTCGTCAGGCTCCGTGTGGGGTCGGCTTGTCCCTCTCCCTGCCCTTCCCCCAACTCTCTTTCCCAGATAAATAAGAATCTTTAAAAAAATTTTTTTCACAGCAACCCTATGGAGAGGCAATCAGTCTCCGGAATAGGGTTTCTCAAACTTGAATAAGGTAGCTCAACTCCTTTTAAAGGACAAAACTTCTTTGACTCTCCAAGAATATGTCCAAGAATCCCAGTTTGCAAAACACCACTCTAGTTCATTCCACTGGGGGATTCTGGTAAAGCCCTTGTACCCAGGAAATTAGGGCCAAATGGAGAGAAGACCAGAATGGGGACCAGTGACCACACGATCTCGAGACAAACAGCAGAGGGAGGGTGGGGGACTGGCACCTTGAGCTCTGGAAGGCTGAGGATCTGCTCCAAGGACACTCGCATCTGCAGTGACTCCTCCACACTCCGGTGCTCTGGGGGGAGCAACTCACAAAACCGCCTGTGGGCTCTGGCAGAAGGAGAGGAACCTGTTGGCAAACCTTCCTGTGTGTATTACATCCCCACTCCTTGCCTTGTTACCCACTATAAACCAGGTGAGGAGCTAAGGCACATACACAGAACTTCTCAGTCATCAGGCATAAGCCAAAGGGAGACTACATATGTAGAACCCCTTAAGTCACAAGACTATGGGCTGAGAGTGCATTCATGCCATGGGTATTTACGGAGGGCCTAAAGTATGCCAGGCACTGTACTGGGCATTGGTTCTCGAGCTCCCTGAGGGATGGAGAGGCTGCAAAAGGAGCCAGAAGTTGGCCCTGAAAAACAGGGAGAAAAGAGTTTGAAATCTCTTTCCCATTTCACTCCAGGAATCTCCAGCAAAGCCTCCCCCTTTTTAGCAACTACCCTACACGATCTCTTCCTCAGCCCTCACCTCCTTCCCACTGGGATTATTTTTGCCAAGGGAAGCCAAGGAATCTCCTCACTCAAGTGCCTTGGCCACAAAAAGCTGGCACGCGGCTAGGAAGGGGGTTCCGGCCCGAGTTCAAATCCTCTTACTTGGAGTGTAGTCTTAGGCAAGTTACCAAACCTCTCTGAAACCGGTTTCATTGCCCCGGCACCTCCCTCCTGAGGACTGAATTAGGTAATGCCGGCAACCACTTCGCACAGTTCCTGGCGCACGGAGAGTGCTCAGTAAGCGTTAACGGTTACCGTGTTGCTTCAGATCAAGTTACCAGGAGCCAGGCTCCGGGTCGGCGAAGTCCGCGGAGAGCCACAGCAGCCCCTGCCGGGCCGGGGCAGGAAGTTCGGTTACGCAGAAGCCAGCGGAGCGCAGGCCCCGGAGCGCCCAGCCGGGCCGAGGCTGCTAGGTGGCCCCCGCGGTGCGCAGTGGGGCCCCCGAGGCGGCAGGGAGGGCGGGACGGGTTGAGGGCACCGCCCGGGGCTCGGGGCCCGGGCGCCAGCTCCGGCTCGGCCGCGGACCGCAGGCGGGCCCCTGTCCCTCCCTGTGGGGGGCCCCCAGTTTGACCGTCTGCGGACAGAGCCCCCCACCCCCGACGCCGCCGCTAGAGGATCCGGGAGCTGAGGTTCGACAAGGCACTTACAGGAGGATCTCCTGCTTGGTCAGGAACGTCAAGTCCTGGAAGGCAAAACGGGAGGGGTTCAGCGAGCCTTCCGGAGGCCGCGCCCGCTCTGTCGCCCACCCCGGGACCCCGTTCCCCAGCGCAGGCCCGCGCGCAAACTCCCCGGGGACCGGCGTCCCGCGCACCTGGTACTCGGCCAACAGCTCCTTGGACAGGCGACTGCCCGAGCCCCCCATCGTCGCGCCGCGCGCACAGCTCCGCCAACTTGCCTCGGGGCGCCGGCAACTTTTTCACTTCCGCCCTCGGGCCGCGTCACCGCCCTGTCCCCGTGGCAACCGCTCCTGGGGCCACCGCCCCCGGGCCCGCCCCCCTCCTTAAAGTGCCCAGGCGCTCCCGGCCCGGTTCCGCCCGCCCGCTCCCCGCTCCGGGCTGTCCGCGGAGAGCTGGAGGCGGGGCCCGGAGCGGGGCCGGACGCTCCGGGGCGGAGCCCAGGCTGCACGGCCCCGCCTCCTGGGTGGGCGGGACGAGCCCCGTCGCGTGCGAGCGGGCTGGCTGCGCATGCGTTCGGCGCGCCGCAGCCTCGCCATGGCCCCGGTAGGAGCTTGCGACCGGTGTCGCGTTGCGTCCTTCTCCACTGCTGTCGGTGGTGGCGGCAGCCTTGGGCGCGACAGGGGCCCAAGGGAAGTACCTGGAGCCTGGAAATCCGGGAAAGTTCGAGACTCGCTACGTGGCGGAAGGCGGCCAAGCCGCGCATTGGCGCGGCGAGGACTTTTTCACCCAGACGTTGCCACTGCGCCCGCGCCGCACGCGTTGCAGCGCGCATGCCACCTCCAGAAATGACCTGAACCTTGCGGGCCACTGAGGCTGTGCGCTGAGGGTCTGCAGACTGCAGGAGCCGTGCATCGTGATCTTCGATTTTCACAAGAGCCCTGCAAGGTAGGTTCCCATTTTACAAATGTGGAAAACAGGTCCGGGAGACGGATTCAACTGACTTGTCTAGGCTCCGGCATTTAGAAAGCGGTCACCCCAGTCTAAGGTTCTTCTCACGGCTCCCCAATCCTGTAGACCTCACTCGAGCCGACCCCGCGCCCAGAGCTCTTGTTTGCTCTTGTCCCCTCTCAACCCCTAGGACAATGCTTGGCCCGGAGTAGGCTCTCAACAAACTGGATGCATGAATGCATGAAGGAACCTCCACTATTCCAGAAGTTGAGGATCCCAGGCTGAGGGAGGAGGTGGAGGTGAGATGAATTCTTTTGTTTTCGGCTTTATTGATGTATAATTGACAACATTGTACGGATTAGTTCTTGATTCTCCTGATTCATTCTACTTGCTGATCTTTGTAAAGTCTAGATCTGATCATGGTGATTTGAGCCTAAAACTAATAAATGGTTAAAAACCGATATACTGGCCCTCTGAAATCTGACTTCAGCCTCTCTCTGCCCTCTCCTCTTGGCTTTCTGGGTTCCCGCCACAATGGGCTCTCAGTTCCTCTTCCGTGTTAGCCTCTGGGAGGCCTTTCCTGGTTCCCTAGACTAGATCAGGAATCTTATAGTTCCGGAATAGCCTGTGCTTCTCCTTGACAGCACTGTCTCACGTTGGCAACTTATGTTTACTTGGGTGTTGATTGGGTTAATGTCGGCACCCGCCCCCTCCGCCCGCCATTCCCCGCTAGACTGTAAGCTCCACGAAGAGCTATGAGAATCGTGATCTACAGGATCTGATAGGTGGCAGTTGTTGAGTAAATGAATGACCGTAGCTTCCCCAGCACTCAATAAGGTGTTCCTCTGAGAGTGGCTTTAGGAAGACTCACTATCTCAACATGGGAGTCCGACCCTTGTGGAAATAATTCTGTTCCAAGAAACGGAGGCTGCAAAGCAGTGAGAACACCAAAACCAGTCAAAGTGAGTGGTTCCATCCCAACCTGATCCTCCTGACGGCAGGCTCTTTCTGCACGAGAAATCGGTTCGTATAATGATAGGCGAAGAACAGGAAGCTGCCCTGGTGTCCCCTGTACTAGACTGAGGGGAGGGGGCACCGGCCAGCCAGGGCCAGTCCCTGGACTCTGTGGTGAGACTGTATCTCTTTGCAATGAGGATGTGGGAATTGGCCCTGTGCCATGGTGACCAGCCGTGACATAGATCTCTCAGCCACCTCACTTGGTGCTGAACCCTTAATTAAACAACTTTCTGGTTATAATTTCGCTTCCTGGTAGATTTTTGTACAGAGGAGGGACTACACTGATTAGCCAATAGGACTACGTTTTGTGCTCTTTGGCATGTTTCGCATTAGAAGTCACTGAATAGGCGTTCTGAGTCCGCTTAGCACGGTGTCCTGGTCTGTGCCTGACCAACTCTTGAAACAGTGTGAAACTGAGTTGCTGAAATCCTTTTTTTTTTTTAATTTAAATTCAGTTAGCCAACGTGGAGTACATCAGCTAATATACTTTTAAAAAACAGCCTCTAGTGTTTCTTGTGAAATTATTTGATTTCTTAGTTGGATCTCTTCAGGTTTTGTTCATAACTACCAACTCTTGGATCTGAATTCCACTTTTTTTTTTCTTCCCCCAAGACATCTTTTCCCTATTTATAATATTATTTCCTTCTTCCTGTTTCCCGCCCGAGACTTGAGGGAGGAGAGCCACCCCAGGTTTCCCCGAGGGAGTGACATTTGATCTGAGACCTGAAGGGGTCAGCCCTGTGAAGAAAGTCTGGGAAAAGGGTATGTTGTAGGCAGGAAGCACAGAAAGCAAGGCCCTGAGCTGGAACAAGGTCAGTAAGTGGGGAGCAGGGTAGGGGGGCGAGGAGTGGAATAGGAGGAGGCGAACGAGGGAGGCCCAGCTAAGCCTCATGGACTTTCTTCTAGGGGCTCAAGGTCACATCCCTAGTGAGTAATAGAGCAGGCATTCAAACACCTGGTCAGCCAGTAAGGCTTGATCTCTCACCTTTGTCCCAGGATGATCCCCAACTCAACACGCTTGTTGTGAAGGTACGTCACTGGAGAGAACTCAGAAAGCCCCCAGCCATGCCTGGCACAAGATAAACACGTGACCAGTGCTCCCTTGCTCCTGGTTTTCATGGAAAGGTTTGATCCCCTCACGTGGTCACTGCTGATTGATCACTCTAAAGGAGTTCTTCTTTATTCACAGGTAATGCTTTGAGCCTGCCAGCTCACTTTAACGTAAATATGACTGTGCCCACTTTCTTTTGATTAATATGTCTTTACTCGTATTCTTAGCCTCCTGGTATCACCTTGGTCCTGGGTCCTTGGTCCTAGCCCCTGGCTTAAAATGTTATTCCATATTTGTATCTAATCCACCCCTTACCCTTGACCTCCACGTTTGACTGTCAGCTGCCTATTACCACTTCTCAGATGTTCAGGCTGCATCTCAGGCTCAGTAATCAGAACTGAACTCTCGATTCCGCCCCCTTCTTCTAATCAATCTATTCCCACCCCCACCCCGCCCTCAGCTCCTCCATCTCTGTAAAGGCCACTACGGTGTACCTCGGTCCTGAAGCTGAGACCCTCCCAGGTCTTCCTGGTGCCTCAGTCCCCCTAGCCAGCTTGTCAGCAGGTCCTGTTGGTTTGGCCTTCCAAACAGGACCCGCGTCCCCTGCTCTCTGTCGCCCTTCCCACCTGTGCCGTCCAGTCAACCTCTCGCTCACCTGGCCATCAGAGTGGCCTCCCAAATGGTCTCCTTCCCCTTTGCTCCCCTACATCCCCCTTCCACACAGCAGTCTGAAAAAAGTATTAAGTGTCACATGGTGCTTCTGCTTAGAACCTGCCAGTGACTCCTTATTCCATTTAGAATAAAACCCAGGCGCCTGAGCATGATGCATAAGGGCCTGCAGCGAATCTGGCCCCTGCTTTCCTCTCCAGCCTCGTTTGCCCCCCTCCCCCTTGTTGGCCATGCTCTGGTTAACACTGGCCTTTCTGTTCTCGGAGCAGGCCAAACACCTGCCTGACTCGGACCTTGGACTTGAGCTTCCTTTCCTAGAACACATTTTCCTTGGCTCCTCATTGCAGCTTTCCGCTCATTTTGCATGTCTCTGCTCAGCCGTCCCCGCGGAGAGCTGTACTCCGCCCTCTTCTTGAAGTACAATGCCCTGGTCCCACGTTTTATTAGTTATCCTTCACCGTCTCACATGTTTGTTTTCCACAGAATGCCAATACCATGAGCAGTTAACATGTTCATTTCGCTCCTTGCCTGACTCTACCACAGGATGTAAGTTCCATGACAATGGGGGCCCTTTTCATCTTATTTGCTACTGTGCCCTCATTGCCTCATACGTAGCGGTTACTTTTTTTTTTTAAGATTTTATTTATTTATTTGAGAGAATGAGAGAGAGAGAGCATGAGAAGGGGGAGTGTTGGAGGAAGAAGCAGACTCCCTGCTCA